CCTGCGCGCCGCGCCCCGCCTCGCCGGCCTCCCGCGCCGGCCCCGCGCCCTCCTCCTCCTCCTGCAGCCGCCGCCCGGCGCCGCCATGCCCGGCCCGGCCGCCGGCAGCCGGGCGCGGGTGTACGCCGAGGTGAACAGCCTGAGGAGCCGCGAGTACTGGGACTACGAAGCGCACGTCCCGAGCTGGGGGTAAAGCGCCCCGCGGGGTCCCCTGCCCCGGCCGCCGGCCCTCCGCGGCCCACGTGAAGCCCCGGGAAGGGGTCGCGCCCCGGGGTCCCTCTGTGGGGAGCGGGGGGGGGCGGGGGAAGCGGCGGGCCGGGCCGGGAGGGGCGGCCCCGGGCAAGGCTGGAGGCCCTCAGCCGCCCTGCTCTCTGTGTTCTCCGTGCCCGCAGCAACCAGGACGACTACCAGCTGGTTCGCAAGCTGGGGCGCGGCAAGTACAGCGAGGTCTTCGAGGCCATCAACATCACCAACAACGAGAGGGTCGTCGTCAAGATCCTCAAGGTGAGTGTCCGGGCAGGGCCGGAGCACCGAGGCCTCTTGGCTCTGTCTCATCTTATTGTGATGGATGTTTGGGCGCTGGACGGTGGTTTGGGTTTTGGAGCTCCCACCCGCTGTTTGCTCCTGGCTGAAGGCTCCCCTGGAGGAGGAACGTGCAGAGCTCTGGTGTTGTTACAGCGCTGTGTGCTGCCTGCATTGGGCAACTGGTGGCTGGCCGTGCCTGTTGCAAACAGCCCAAGAAGGCCATGCCAACAGGAATGCGGAGCCTGCAGGGGAATCCTTCTGTCAGCCTGCAGACAGCTGGCGCGCAGCCGCCTCACAGCCCGGCCGCACGCTCCTCACAGTCTGACCCTGAGGTGCTCATGAAGCATGTAAAAGTTTGTATTCAGTGTTGCAGAGGATCTGTTACATGCGGGAAGTGTCACCTTGGAGAGGCCAGAAATACTGTGAAAATCTGAGGGGATGAACGCAGACCATTTGTTGCTCAGTGGGATCAGTGGGGTGTTTTCTGGTGTGTTCATCCCCGTGGGTTGGGCTGTGGGGACCTTTCTGCAGCTGTATCAGGTTGTGGGTTAGAATGGTGTGGAGTTATCTGCTGTAAGACAAACCTTACTGTGGAATGGTGGAGTCACAGAGAACTGTGGTAGCCATCCTAGTAGCAGTCTGTATCAATGATCTGAGATGGGAGGTGTTTAAAAAAGAAACAACAAAAAAACCCCGAAGGTTACAGTTGAGGTGCTTTTGGTTTTGGCTTGGCTCACACTTGTGGCTGTCATTTGTTGGACCAGCAACATGTGTCACTTTTTTGCCAGGAGCATGTGGAACCAGTTTCTGGTCAGGATGTATGAAGGATTCAGGCATGTGCTGATCTGCAACATTGCAGGGGGGTCTGAGCTTAACCTGCCTCTGCAGCCAGCGAGGCTGGCAGATTCCTGGGACAAGGGTCTGCAGGGCTGAAGCCCTGAGGTGTTTGCTGCTGCACTCTGATAGCATGGCTCGCTGGTTGGCTTTGTGATGGCTTCCCTGCTTCCACACTCACTTGCAGTTCCTGCTTCCTTGGGATCTTTCTCGGCTTCCAAGGGAGCTTGCCCTGCTGTATGCAGCTCCTAGGCAAGGAGTGATCTCCCATCCTGACTGCTTCTGGGAGGACTGAATGGCAGCCCTGCCTTGGTAGCAGCTGAGGTAGTGTTCAGTTGAGCCCTCAGGGACAGCCCCAGAGCTGAGCCTCATGGCAAGGCTCACATGTTCTTGCTGAACTCTTCTGGTGTGCTGCGGGGGCCTCCTCTGCTTTGGGTGCTTTATGTGTTTGTTTTCGTTTTCATGAGGTTTCTGCTCTGAGAGAGTAGCCAGTGCAGAGCTGGACTTGATGGCAAGATGGCTCATAGTTATGTGGGAAAACTGCACTTCATGGTGCTGTGGAGCCCCTGGTTGTCTCTTTGGGTGTGGTATGTTGAGAGTCCAGGCCTTGCTCTGCACGAAAAGAGGCACCATGAGGCAGAGAGGCTGCAGGGAAAGTCATCAGAAATATTCCTCGTTCCTTCTTAGCAGCCTCCCCTGGAGCAGTGCTGCCAAACTCTGTCATCCCCAGGGAGCCCATCAGCACAGAGCTGTGAGTCAGCCAGCCAGAGTCATCGGAGGGTGGCTGGGTGCTGCTTCTCCCTGCAGCCTGAATGTGTTGCCACCATGCTCCTGCTCCGCAAGCAGGGGACGAGCTTGGCCCTGGTCTGGAGTTGATGGTGTTGCCACTAGTTCCCTGGCTCCCCCCACTTCTATTAGCATGCAGGCAGCATTCCGGCGAGTGAGCAAGGGAAAGTAGAAAGTCCAGATAAATAGATGAACTTTCTTAGTGGAAAGTGGGTCAGTGAGAAGTGAGTTGCAGAGCACTGTTGTATAGGTTATGAAAACTTGCAAAGTGTGGCAATAACAGCACTGTGATCTGTGGAAAGTGCCTCTGGTTTCCTGTAGTGAGACTAAAACTTAATTGCTAATGTAATTACATGTATCTTCGGTCTTAGCAAATAGGCTGGGCGTGTCTGCTGCTTGTAATTCCGGCTGGGTTCTCTGAGGTGGGAAATGCAACCAAATTACAAGGTTCTGGGCTCCAGGAGGGGTGAGACAAAGGGAGAAAGTGTTGCTGGTGGACATGGCTGTTCAGCATAGTTGTTCTTCGCTATTTAAGGCTCATGGAGAGAACAATTTCTGTTATGTGTTAAGGGTGCTCTTAGCGTCTGTGCCTCATCTGAAGTGACTGCTATCTTCCCAGCCTTGCTTTGTGAAGCGACTGGTTCTTAATGAGCTCCAGCTAACATGAGGCCTTTTTTGCTCCCCTTCTTCAGTTGTTGTACCTGAACATCTTGTACCTTCCTCCAGAGAGGTCAGGAAATTTTACCACCCTTTCACAGATGCAGAAATGAGCCACAGATTTCCTGTGTGACTTTGGGCAAGTCCCTTAGCCTCAACAAAGCTGAGACTAAAGCATGGGTCCCAGCATGGTGCTGTGCGAACGAGATGAGCTGCTCTTCCTCTTCTGGAGGCTAATTGCTTTGTTTATTCAAGTGCCCTGTGACATCTTCAGCCTTGGACAAGGCTGGGGAGCTGATGGCTTTGATAGGTATCACAGTGCCCCAGGCCTCTTGGTCTTGCATCAAGCACGGTGCCCCGTTTCCCTGGCATTGCCTTCATGTGCTGCTACCTGAAGTGCAGGTCCAGGTGGAATCCTGTAGGAAAATGGGTTGTGATCATGCCCCCGGTTGTGGTAATAGCATACATCAGCAAAGGAGCACCATTAAGATCATACAGATGACTGTAATGTTACCATTTCTTGGGTCAAGTGCCTCGCTTTGAGAATGGGATGTTCTTAGTGCCACTTATTTCCAGGAAACTTCTGTAGCTCTTTAAGAAAAAAGCAAACAGAGCCAACAGATTCCTTCTCCTGCTGTTGCTGGATGTCAGGTTGTGCTGTGTATGACAGTGCTTGCTAAGCAGCGGACAGCAGCCCTGATGTACCCTACAGATGCCCTGACAGCATCCTCCAAAAGCAAGGCAGAGGGCAACTGCTCAGCTTTTCGGCCCGTTCAGAGAGTAAAGATTCTGCAACAATAGTCATCTTGGCACGGCACAGAGCACTCAGTGCCATACACCTGTGTGCCCCTCACAGCCATAGAGCATGGAGGCAGCCTGCAGCTGTGCCCCGTGCTCTGCAGCTGGTGCAGTGGGCTCCTGTGGGCTTTTTGATCTGGTTGACCATGGTGCAGCTGTGGGCACACTTCTGGGCGCTTAGGGGAGCGCCGAGCCAGGAAGAGGGGGTGTGTGTGCTTTTGTGTCTTGCTCGTATTGATTTGATGCTCATATTTGGCTTCTGGGTTGTTGGCACCTGGCATTCCTCTGCATTTATGAAAGAAGCTTAAGACATCTTTGTTTTCTGTGAGCTCTGTACTGTGGGTGGCTGTGGTGGGAATGCTGTTGTTAAGTCACCTGCAGCTGGCCCTTTACAGCCATTCCCTTGCAGTGAGTGTGTTTCCAGGGTGGGGATGATGACATCCACACTGCCAGCTCTGTACAGGGGTTGTTCCACTCGCTGCACACACGTATGTGTTTACGTACAGCTCATTTGCCTGAGACCCAGTAAGCCCAACTATGGATTTGTCTCCATAGTTGGCTGCTATCAGAAAAGGTGAAACAGGTGAGGGAAAGGGCATAATTACAAGGAGAGGGATTGGAGGCAGTGCAGGAAAAGCCCCTTTCCCTTTGGTGGCTTTAGTCCCCCCGTGCTGAGTCCACAGACTAGAACTTTCAACCATGTCTGCAGTTTCACAGATGCATTCTGGTTTGTTTGTTTGTTTTTCCCTGTTCTGTGCTCTGTGAGCCTCCAGAGCCACCACTCACACCTGGGGCTGCAGCAGCATCCTTTTGTGCTGAGCTCAAATTGCTGCTCTGGCAGCTGGAGAGCCATCTGAAGGAGATAGCCCTTTGGTTCTGCTGATTTTTCTGCTATCTCTGGAAGCTTCAGAACCCTTGTATATTGGTGTGCTCTGGGTGGGGGCTGAAAGGCCTGCTGTGCTGCGTGCAGAAAGGATTGCACAGGGCAATGATTGACCCTCAGGGCTGGAGCTTTTGCCTGCATCACTGCCCT